GTGTCATCGACACTCGACTCTACTCCGCTCCTGGCAGATTATTGTTCGTCGATTGACGACTGTAGTCACTCCGCCGTCGTTGCACGGATACGTGTCATCGACATTCGACTCTACTCCGCTCAGGGCAGATTACTGTTCGTCGCGTGGCGACTGTAATATCATTCCGCCGTTGGCTCACGGATTCTTGAGGCCGACACAGATAAGTTTCACAGTACCGCTGGCCGCATCCGAAATTGCGTCCGAACGAGCCGAGCTCGTTGAATCATAAAGGAAACTCCGAGAGCTAAGGTCCCGTGTCCGAGGACCGACGGCCGCAACCGCGTACACCGAGCCGATTCCAATCTCCGCGATAGGAGATCGAAGGGGAGCGCCACTAAGGCCATATCCCGCGTGCAGCTACGCTGCAATTTCAACGACCGCGAACATTATATGATTCCGAAGCGCCGCTAACATCGCTGGGAAAAGTGTTCACCGCACTTAAGAGACACGACGCCGAAAGAAACGTCAACAGAATAGACTCGCGAAGACGCGACACTGACGTCGTCCGCGTCCCGCGCACCGCGCGTCACCTCACAAATCGGCGTCTAAACAAACCTCTGTCAGGCGATACAAACAACCAAAACCAAAGGTGTCGACACGTATTGTTCGATATATATATATTGTCATTATCATCAGCTTAGTACTTTAAATATATTATTCATTATTATTTTCTTAAAACACTGTTTCTCAATTATTCCGCCTATCACGAACCCGATCCGACAAGCGATTCAAACCCGCAACGAATCGCGGTTACAATCTTTTACTTGTGTTTTAAAAATAATTCATTCTTCATCGGACATTATTTATTCTTTGCGCTATTCTAAGTTTAAATTATACTTGGATTAAGCCATATTTGCATTCCTTTAAGAATTTCATTTTGTGTGTGTGTGTGTGTGTATATATATATATATATATATATATATATATATATATATATTTATATTTATTTATTTATTTATTTATATATATATTTAAATCACATAAATGTACTACAATAACAAAATCAAAACTTACTTTAATAATATTGAAACAAATAAATAATATAAGTTGTATATACATATATAAAAATACACCTACAATACATGTTTACAGTTAATAATTTTTAATTCTTACCATATCTTTTTCAAATATATTCAATTTAATACCGAACAAAAATAACTCAAAATTATTAAAATATACAGGATGTCCGACCAATTATGTCGGTTACTAAAATGTGAAGGTAGAATGGATTAAAACTGAACAGAAAAGTCATGTACCATTTTACTAAATTAACAATAGTTAATGAAGAATAATTTTCTCTCAGCTAATCAGCGCACGGGAAACAGTAGGCCGAAGTATGTATAAAGAAAAATGGCTTCTTTTTGAAGATACAGAAACGATGAATATCAACTAATTTGTAAAGGCGGAACGATTAAACAAACAGCGAGCGGCATGTGACAAAGGGTTGTGTGCCGAAAAGAATTATGCCTTTCGTTATTTGTTCATATCCATCGTTGCTACAAGAACTTCACAAACCATTTTTCTTTAAACATAATCCGGCCTACCGTTTCCCGTGCGCTCATTACCTTATACAGAATAATTAATTCATCATTGATTACAATTGTTGCAAAATAGTACATGATATTTCTGTTCGGTTTAATTCGTTCTACTTGCACACCGCGGCAACAGAGATAATTACATACCGAACATCCTATAAACAGAAAAACTTTTGATTAATATCTGTCACAAACTAAAATGTAATAAATTGTATCTTATCATAATGGTAATAAATTTACTTAATGCTAATAAATAAAGAGCTATCAGAAAAGAAATCGATAAAGTTACAAAAATTAATATAAGTAACAGTAACAAATTAACTTTATTAATATAAACTATTTCTATAATATTAATAACATTTTTAGAATCAAACCTAAATAGGAATGATGTAACCACACCAATAATAAATTTGCAATATGAAATGTGATAATAAAAAAATAAAACAATCAAGTTGTATTTATAAAAGAACCAAATATTTTGATAATAAAAAAATTTGTACCTTTGTTGGTGATCTTAAAATAAAGCTGTCGCAGCATTTTCCCTTCAGGATCTTTTACAAACTGAACATCATTTTGTAAAATAAACTCAATTTTCTGAATAAATGAATGCCAATTTGTGATCAACGCATCTTGTAAACCAGGTTGACAAGACATTGCAAAGTCTATTTCAATCTAGATAACAAGATAGAACAATGCTGAGTGTGTAACACTTTGTTTATACAGACATTTATGATACATTAAAATATTAAAAAGCAACGATAAATTTATTAATAAAAATCCTTACTAATGTATAACCCTGACTGAGACGAAGAACTTTGTATTCATCCAAATAAGATGCAGCTTTAATACATTCTACACGTCGTTCTTTAGCTTGCAAATCTTGAAGCTAATAGTACATCTCGTCTGTATTTTGATGTTACAACCCATTTTTCCTCTACTTTACTCCATGGTTCATGAACATTTTTCAACCAATTCAAAGCTATTTCTATATTCTTTGTAAGTTCTATTGAAGCAGCTGCACATAAGAAATAATGTGTTACAAAACTAATAGATAAATAAAATAGCTTCTTATCTAACTTATTTTTTGTACGATTTAAATGTTTGAGACAAAGTTTAAAAAGTAACTACGAACTTCCACAAAGTCCGTATACATTTTTTATCTGGTTAAGAAGCTTAAACTTTTACTTAATTACTTATACACATAACTAACAAAATTTGAAAAGTTTAATAAATTTGATAGGAGTAAAAATATCCAAACTGTTTTAATTTGTTGCTATGGAATACCATTTTCTACAATACGAAGTTGCCTCAACAATCACAGTAACTTTAACCACATTGACTAAAAATATTATGAATGTTTAAAATTACAAACCGTCCAAATTAAAAGTAAATATAATATTAAATATGCAAAATATAACCTGTTGTTGTTGCAGATACTTCTTTATAAGCATTCTGTTTAGATGTTTTCACTCTAGGGGGGAGATTTTTTTCCTCATCCATTCTTTCAAATTTCTTGTCCTATCAAAAAGTTTCCCTCTAGCAAGAAATTGATTATCTCCCTCTTCTTTTGGAGCAATGTAGTATACATTCTGTAATATTAATATATTATTCATGAAATTTATGAAACATTTAAACACAAGATTAACATGCAGGTGAAACTATTGAGTAAAATACCTCTTCGTTTGTAAATAGAGTTAAAATCTTGTCTTTCAATATACTTAAGTCAGGTTTTTTGGGTCTGCAAATAGAAAATGCAAAACAAAATTTGTTTAAGAGGACAGTATTTTAAATCTATAAGACTGTAAATAAAATGTTGCTAAGTTGTAGTCAGAAAGAGCACACAAGCTTTAATTTAACCACTGTTATTCACACACAAATGAGGAAGAGAGAAACACATTACAACATATCTATTAATAAAATAACTTACTGCCCAGTAAGCAATCTGCGCGCAGACTGACGTCAGACTGTCGATAGGATCTGTCGAATCCGAGCAGGATCTGTCGACAGATCCATAGACATCTGCGTCCCCAATCTGCCGCCAGACTGTTGACAGGGTCTGCGAACAGACTCTGACGACAGACTGGCGGCAGATTGCGTGCAGAGCTTGTCGACAGACTATGACGGCAGATTGGCTGCAGATTACGCGCAGATCCTGTCGTTTCGTAGGTTCTTCAATTAAATTTTCTCATAATTTTTCATAATTACTCATAGAATAAGCGCTTTCTCATAAATACTCATAAAATACTATGACAAAAAAATTTTTCTACATTATTTTTTCATAATTTTTAATATTTTCTC